AGCTTTCTCGGTGATCAAACTCTTTATTGTGACTGGGAACATTTGCGCTAGCCATGTTCTTGCCCCAACTTGACAAAGAAACGCTTGTCTTCTTTTTGGGGATTTTTTGTATTAGGCTTTATATCTATAGTAGGCCTTCGAGGGGTGGGGAGCGCGGGTGGATCTAGAAGCTTAGCCACTTTCCGAGCTACTGTAACCCACGGGTTCGCAGTCTCCTGTGGCTATTGGGGCAGTTGATGGTGCGACTTATTGTTTGTTTTTGTCGCCCTAGGCGCAGAGATTGTCATCTCCGTGATTTCAGGATGTGGGGCCTTCCCTGTGGGGACTGTGGCATCGGCTTTTCTTTTTGCAAACGCTGTCACAATAGGTGATATTTTTTCGATAAATGGCGCGACTAGAACCGCGCCTTCAGTTCCTGCCTTGGATTTCGCCCAGGCATCGATATTTTGCAAAAGCTCTTGAGCTAGGCTGATTCTCTGCTTTCGTTCGCGCTCTGATTGCTCCATCGCAGCAGAAATCCCAACAAGGCTCGGGTGTAATTGGTCGCCTGGGTCGATTGACGCCGTGGACGACGGCTGATTGTACGCAGCCATGGTGCTGCTTGATTTTACAGGGTTTAGAAACCGGGATAAGTATAATGATGTGCGTGTATGGGGTAAATGGGGGACTTCTGTGATGAGATTTCATTGTATGATGACTAGCTAATTAGTATGTACTGTTGAAGTATCTCACAATAGATGATTCATCCTAACAATGCAATCATCGATATTTGCGGATATTCTCTCGTCGAAAGTCGTTGTTAATTTAAGATGTATGATTATACGGCCTATACCAGAGATTACCGCACCACTAAAAGCTGTTACAGTCCCTTTTTCTCTAGAAATTAAAGAAAATAGTCATTACATGAACTCATATAAGTTGAGCATCCATAGTAAAGTATCCAGTGTGAAGGTATTGGAGAGGATGATGCGTCAATGGCTTTCTCACCGACAATATGGCTTATAAAGTAGTAGTCATTGGTGATCGAGGGAATGTCAGCAGCATTTGTTAGGTTATTCTGTTTCAATTTGTCTGAAGTTTCACCTCTCGAAGATTTCTCTTCGTGCCTTGAACTGGCGGCATTCTCTATATTCGTGGCCCTTGTAGATAAATTCGGTTTTCATACACCAGTTGCACTCTTTAATCACTTTTCCAGGCGCGGGTTCACTACGCGTAAGGCTCGAGGCGTAATAGGGAGCGTGGTTTGCGAATTACTGAGGAAGGACGGCTCGTAGGAACGTGAAGGGATTTTAGAGAAGTGGTAAATGGGAACGCGGGAGTCGTTCTATATAGAATAGCCGGAAATGACGGTAGGTCGCAGAGGGTGGTAGGGGACGAGAGTGATGTGTGATTAGAATTATGTAACTATTTCTGTGGATAAAAATCTGAGCTTGTTTATTTCAGTTTAGAAAATAACAACTATGTAGTTGTCCTCGCTAGGCAATAAAGCCTAGTGGGATTAAAGAAGGCACCCGGGAACCATGCCTTAGGCATTTCTCCAGAATCCTTACACAATTTATTCCATCCCTTACCGGAGTTGCTTGTTGGGAGAGATTTGTTTATTGTACTACTTGAGTCTTAGACTATCTAGCACATTGGGCTTGCTTGTTGGGAAGTAAGCCTTAGATGAAGGAATATTGACCAAAGTTCTCTCTGGGATGATGTCTAACAAGTTGGCACTGGTTTCGGCGTACTTGAGGCCATCTTTAATTGAGAGATCGTCGACAATGTTTTTCATAGAAGATGGGAGGGATCTAAAAAGACACATTGTACGGACTTCTTCTATAGACAGGAAATCTTTCAGTGCTTTGCATTCCGGACGTTTGGATCGGGCACATCTCGAGACAATATGTTGGATGGAGTTATCAAAGTTAGATAGATAAACAGAAAGGTCATCTCCGTCATTCATCTTCAGGTCGAGAAAACTTGTGAATATATTCAGGGCTGATTTTCTTGTCTCATGATCGAACTTTATTTTCAGCAGGCGCATAGCGACGCGGGCTGATTCTTGCTCGTCAACAACAGAGGCGACAAGGTCTTGGAGTTCTTCAGATACTCCAGAGATAATAAGAGCGTGTGCTGCATCATTTCTTTTGTCATAATTGGTCTGTAGAGTTTCTGTGGTCTCCATACTTTGATGTTTAACTTTTAAGGGACGTGATTCTTTCTTATCCCCATCATCGACTACTGACCAAAGTCCAGCACCACGTAGAGAGACGTGCCAAGTGTTATACCATCGGTGAAAGTTTGAAGCCCCGAGAAGGGTTGGAAGGCTGACCTTTATATCGTTGATGGTGACTGAGGTAGGCATATCTTGTGGCGGTTTAGTATAATGATCGATCTAGTTTGAGCGACGAGCCAAGGCTGACGACTTATTGATGGAGCGGGAGACTTTACCTTGTGAAGAATATTCTGACAGGTATAGGGAGTTTTTAATAGATCAATAAACCGAGTGGAATAAATAGAATTGCGGATTGGTGCCATAACTAAGAATAATTGGGGCTATCAATTTGGTCACATGGTTATTACATGTGTGACCTCAAATAATGTTCCTGTTTTCACGTTTGTACTATTTTAAAAAAATGAGCACTTCAATCGCAATGACTGAGGATCCGAGGGCAAGACTGAACACCTGTACGCAGTGTCCTCTTCGAACCTGGGAGGGAAATATTTTCCCAGAGCCAAGTTCAGTCAAATTTCGCAATATCAAAGAACTTGGCCTACGAGGCAAAAAATTCAAATTACTCCTCCATGTCAATCTTTCACTCCCAAAGAGTCCGATTCTCAACTAAGCTTCATCAAGTCTACAAGTACTACCTAGTAAATCCTCGTTTCAATGACCACGCCTCTCGTCGACTTTCTCTGGCCTCAGCCGGTCACCAAATACACGCCCACGCCGATATTTATACCCCACGGAGGAAGCAAAGCGTGGCGCACAAACCTGGGAGACAGTTCTTTGGGATGGACGTGAGAGAGATTAGGAAAAGTTGACAAGATGATGCGAAGGAAGGATATAACCTCGTAAGGCGTGAATTTAGATTTTTGGCAAAAGTTTTACGAATCGAGCTTTTGGTGCGCCAAGACTTCGCTTGCGAGAGTGCAGCTGACACTATAGACACAAGTCAACGATGGAAGGTGTAGTGGTCTGCCTCCAGGTGGTGTTCTCTGGTATAGTTTGAGTAGCCTGGGTACCTACTCCACTTTGGAAGGAGACATCTCAGACCATATTTCGCGCGGAGAAAAGTTGAAAGATGATGGAGGCATGTCTAGATAACTCAGGATTTTTGAGACGTTCCCCTGGGTGGGTATTCACGGATGAGGGTTGACTTGGGGTGAAGAAAAAGCCACCATAAATTCGCAGTGGTGCTTGCAAATAAAATCCGAGGCATGAGTGCTCTTCCCTTACGTTGAATCATCTATTCTGTACTTTTCTTTGATATTGTGTCATAGCTAGATAGTATTCGAATTTAGATATATAGATATTCAGACATATAATGAATATGATCTGTTTGTCGATTATGATGTGGCTGCGATTGCAGTTGGATGTAAATAATGTAAAGGTCTTTATCAAGTATCTTTATTAAATATATTTATTATGGAAATACCCTCCCGTGAAGTCTACCCTAATATATATATATATATGTATAATTCATTTTACCTGATTTGGCGCCTTGAGGCCCATGCAGGTTTTATCGGAAGATATGTACTTCAAGTAGGATGACTTAATTTGACGATTAGAACACTCACACTCAGATTTCATTTGCAGATACCACTCGAGGTTAACCCTTACGGCGTATAACCTCTTCCGTGCATACCCACCACAGGGAAAAGCGTGAAAAACCTGTGGCTATCCGAGTGTGCTTTCATCATCCCACAAGTACGATATCACCGCGAGAGAGAGCGGTGTGTGGGTCTGACTGGATTCGAACCAGCTTTCTCCTGTCTCGAATGGGGTAGCTGTTCAAGCTACCCAGTATCTATTTGAGTGAACGGCCCGGATGGTGTACCACTGCACTATCCAACCCTCTATCCTAATATGTACATGTAAATGCCTTGCTTTATGGATATTCCCGAAGTCAAAGATAGGACACCTATATCCCATGAGATATATGTTCGATACAAAGTTGTGATCTGCCTCCAATATTATGCGCAAGTCTGAAACTATGTTCTACCATGTCCGTCAGTTCTATATTAAGTTTTCCAGCCTTTATTTCCGTGCATATATCCTAAAGTGTAATTTGCCCATAGATGTATGATCAGCGGCGGAAACCTGCAGTCTATTAAACACAGTTTAGACACCATGGGAATAGAGTCTAACTCTCACAGATAGCTGCATACGCAATTAAAATCTGATGCAAAGAAAAAAGAGTAGTAGCTATTAGATATAGAGAATATACACCATACAGATCACAATAGACCTTTAAATAAAGATATACATGTACGATAAGGGCCTAGTGATATTGGTATTCAAGACGCACCAATAATAATTTTTGCAGACAGAACGTCATGTACCTCATTATTATTCTACTATTTGTATATTGTCAAGCTATACAAATTGCAAAGCATGCGATATGGCAAGTCACGGCGGCAGCGAGTACTCTACTCCTAACGGAGAACGCGACTCTTTTAAAAAGTTCGCGCGTCGATGGAGAAGATAGATGAAAATTATAAGGTCCTCAGCAAGAGGGTAAACGACAATCATGATGAGATAAAGGCTTTGATTGTCAATTTGATTAAACAGGTGGTACAGCTAGCAAAGTTAAAGGACTTTGAGGTCGCTGTGGAGGAAGAAAAGATATCGACAACTCCTCCTACAGCACAGGTGGTTTTACCCCCATTCCTTGCCAAGCCACCTCATTCTGAGAATCAACCTGCTGACCCACTCCGTTATTTTGACGGTCAACTTAATCCTCACAAGATTCGCCGCGTCCGCTACGCTGACGACCGTGAGAAAGCTATCCATGGAATTTAATCAGCCGTGGTACTACCCTCTCAGACCGACGAAAGAGCCGAGCACTCAGTCAAAAATAAGGTCGTCATCCCACAAGCACTTCGGATACATAGAGCCGACGAGAAGGTATTTGAGAAGCTTGAGGCCATTCAGATAAAACTTTTGACAGCTCTTGTTTCGTACCACTTTTGGGCGGCTCAAGTTCGAGAGATACTCGATGGAGATTTCAAGCACGTAGCAATTTCGGCTCAGGCTCATTTACCATCTTGGGTCCTTTTCGCTGAAGCAATAATTACTGTCCTTCGGTCTTACAACAAACTAGATGATACAATAACGTTATTCTCTTCAATGTTGCCAGTAAAAGAAGAGTCTTACATCGGATTTGCTTGGAGGCTTCGTCAAGCATTCTATCGATTGCCACCATTTCAGCAAGACACATCTTCGATCCGCAGCATCCTTATCAGCGAAATCCATCAATACTTGCCTCGTGTCTAGTCTTCCATACAAGATGTGCACCACTTTTACACTATGTTAGAAATTGTAAAGGATTTCTAGGAGGAAATATCTCGAAGGACAAGTGTACAATTTCGGACAAGAATTTATTAATAATTATATAGGATATCGAACTCTCTTCTCAATATAAATTGTTGATATCTAACATTCCATTAACTTAGTTTAACATATACAAACAAGTCTACCCTTAAATACAGATTCCCGAGGCTTTAGTGATCCCAAACTCCAAGTGATCTAGCAACGACCTGCCACTTAATTATCGCAAGCTAGCATTTCCTAGCCGCTGCATTTCTGACACCACTGAAGCTAATATTGCCCAGCCAAGCCTAACCATATGCAATCAGATCAATTGAATTGATCTTGATGATCATACTTAGAAACCTAAACCTTCATATATACTAAGTCTAGATTTCCAACACACTACTGCTGCCTTGATCGAATGGACGGTCCAACGTGTTGAGAATGGTTCTCGCTCTATAGCAGAAGACAATATTTTTGCAACCTCTTCTACTACTATTCCACTTGCAGGATGCTCAGCCCCACTCTACAACCTCAAAATTGGAGAAGGAACTTCCGGCAAGCCTAGTCGAAGCCTAATAAATTCACCTACGACAGACACTCCCACAATTTCCGACCCGAGTAGTGAGAATCGGGATGTCTTCAATGCCAGTGAGTTTGTATGTGGTGATATACAGTCTGACTGTGCATTTCCTAATGACGAGAGCTTCAATAAATGTTTCGGACACGGCAGAACCAGCCACTTTAAGCGCGATTGTCCCTACTGTGGTCGCATCACTCAGTACCGAAATAATTCTAATTATACTAGCAGTCGTACAAAAGATGTCACCTTGAAAGGACAGTTAACTTTTGATACCAAGACGGAGTGGTACAAGCTATTACGGAATTCATTTCTTGTAGGTAAATGATGTCACTTCCGACTTTCAACGAAATAAGCCATGTATTTGAACAAGAAAATTTTGGTAGCATATTATCTGATTTTAGCAGTTCTTCATAGTCATAGAATTAATAGGGACTTGAATTTAATTCTATTCTATTCTATTTGATACCAAGCCCAGATTGCTTGAAAAATATAAGAATTGGAAAAATAAGAGTGGCAAGGGACCTCGTATCACTCAATATGTTACAGTTCGGTTTCCATTCAATACCTTGTCTGGTTTGACATCTGATACCGATGTTTCTTATGGTGTAGTTCCGAACAGAACGTTTCCTGGACATATTACCCTTTGCCCCACAATTTTCCATGCCTGGGGTATGCTTTGCGATAGTAAAGGGTCAATAACTTTAACAGCTTTCAATGGCAAACCCGAAAACTTTCCAATCGAGCTTTGCAAGTCACATTTGGTGACTGAATCTGTTTACTCTTCTTGGCAAGAATCGAAAGCTTTTTTCTATTCTTGGGGAAAAGGAACGCCGACAGGCGAAACTCAGGCTCAGCTTTTCATCAATGAGTATATCAAGAATTATGCAGGTCTTTTCGATTCTAGCAGGCGTAAAATGGATATTCTATCGGAAGTTGAACATTCCATTGACACTGGCGATGCAGCACCAATCATACTCAAGCCTCGCCGATATAGTCTAGCGCGGAACAAGGCAATGCGAGCCTTTGTTAAAGGGAAACTTCAATAAGACTCCCAGAAAGAGTAAAGGCATTTTGGGATCTCCTATACACCTAGTTCCCAAGAAAGCTGCTGGCTCGCATATCAAGCCGATCATTGACGATAAGACGATTTGCCGAATCTGCGTCGACTACCGACAGTTCAATGATATCACCAAGAAGCACGCACATCTTTTGCCAAACACGATGGATTAAATCCAACGCGCTGCGGGTCATAAATGGTACGCTTTCATTGATCTCAAGGATGGATTTTGGAACATCCAAATGGCAGTAAAGGACCGAGAGAAGACAGCTTTCATCACACAATTCGAGATTTATGAATGGAATGTAATGCCATTCGATCTTTGCAATGCGCCCGCCACTTTCCAAGCTTTTATCGAAGAAATACTTGTGCCATATTACAATTTTCTGGCAGGACTTTTGAATGATATTTGTGTTTGGGTAGACACCAGGGAGGAGCTTCATAGGCGATTGCTTCTGGTATTTGTAAGGTTGCAAGAATCTGGCATACTTTTAAACATCAGCAAGACTGTGCTCCTTGTCCAGAAAAGTATCTTCCTAGGATTTTTGATTTCAGAAGATGGCGTTACAGCAGACCTTGACAAGGTTTCTGCTGTTCACAACCGCCCCATACCAACGACTACGCAAACCCGAGCCTTTGTCAACGCAGCAGGGTACTTTCGGCATTTAATTAAGGACTATGCGAAGTTATTGGGACCGCTCACAAGCCTCAGCGGTGGACCGAAGAACGCGAAGGTTGAGCTCACAGAGGAAGCAAGAAAATCGTACTTCAAAATCCGCAATGCAATCACAACTATGCCTGTTGTTTGAACCTTTAATTGGGAGCTTCCTTATATCCTAGAGTCTGATGCAAGCAAATATTACGTCGGCGCTGCTTTGCTTCAACCACATCTTCACGGCGATAAATCAATTCTCCACCCTACTGCCTATTTTTCAAAGAAGTTGACAGATAAACAGGTTAGTTATTCGTTACAAGAACGTGAGTTGCTAGCATTTATGCTGGCGTTACAGCATTGGAGACATTGTGTCGAGGGCAGCGACGACACAGTTGTTACAGACCATGAGACCCTGGATGCGCTCAAGACGAAAGCTGAACAACCTCCAAGAATTCTTCGATTCCTAGATATAATCCAGCACTTTGGCGTTCGGATTATTTACAGGCCTGGCAAGGCTAATTTATTGGCCGGCTACCTCTCTCGACCTGCAACAGTAGTTTTTTGGATTAAGCTGGCACTTCCAACAATTTGGGATGGTGATGAAAGTATAGAAGCTTTACCTCTTATCGTAAAACACAATACTGGCGTCTCGCAGCAGCAGCCAATCATTGTAGATTATGGTTCGAAGGAGAAAGGGATATTTGACTTCATCACAGAACCATTCCAGTTGAATCGTCTTGATCTACAAGTAATATATGAGCACTTAACACTGCAGATACCTCTTCCGCTACGTATTCAATCTCAATGGGTCAATGATCACTTCACCTCTCACAAAGGTGCCTTGCAAAAGATTTTCAACTACTCAAGAGTTCCAGGAGACCCACCACATCTGGCTGGAATGGCATCGGAACAAGTAGTTCTGCTTCCTGTTCTGGAATTCAGTGAAACGATAAACAAAGTCCCTCAACTTCATTTAGACTTAGCACACTGTACCGTTGGTACACTTTGCCGACAGTTTTGTAGAATTTGCTGGCATCCAGAATCAACATTAATGGCCCAGAAAGCTATAGCTGAATGTCCACAATGCCAACTTATGCCAACTTATGCGACGACCCAATCCAGCACTTCCAGATCTTCGACCAATCATCCCGCCACCGCCATTAACTCGATTGGCAATTGACCACACTTCGATTTTTGGAACAAACATTCTGGTGACAGTCAAATATGCTACAGGATGGGTTGAAGCAGAGGCAGTCCCATCATTAAGATTCGAGGTTGCTGTACCACTAATGGACAAAATATGCGATAGATATGGCTGTCAAAATGAATGTATCAGCAATAATGCAGCTTGTTTTGCTAGTTTAGCTGCCATATAATGGCATCGAAAACGAGGATGTGCATTGAAACCTGTTATACCATCACGCCCTCGTGGGAACGGCAAGGTTGAGAAAACGATTGGAGATATTAAGCGACCAATGCTTCGGGAAGCTCAGAATCAAGAGTGGAATGGGGACGGCCGTAAACTACTAGCTAGGTCGGTCTACATTCACGACAAGACTCCTGGACTTAGCGGTTACAGCCTGTTTTTCTTATTGTTTGGGACCAAGCCTGCAGATAGCCAATCTTATCGACTTTGTAATCTCGGACAATAGGCATAAAATAATTATGGATTGTCAGATGTCGATGTGTAAATAAACGTTGAGTGTTGCAAAGAAAATATAAAATAAGTGTAGATGTAAATGTAGATGTCGATGAAAGATAATTGATTATATTAAAATATATGCTTCCTATAAAACATGCCCGTCCTCACTTCCGATCCAGGTCACTTATAAACTATCTATCCAAAGCATCATACGTCATCCATCCACTGAGCTACACTTCAAGACTAAATCTTCAAGCTAGATCTAGTTACAGTCCCGTTTACAGAAATTTACATTGATGTTCACGATGGTGGTGTTTTCCTATGCAAAACATATTCCATGCATCTACACCCCTGAGCTGTGTAACTGTTTAACATGTACTGATGTAACAGTTTAACACACATGTATCAAAACTAAACCTCTCACACTTTAAATCATAGACCTTCGCATTATACTCCAAGGAGAAAGAGCAGCTTGAAATAAATCCAAGCATCTCTGCGTATTCCTAGCCCTAGTATAATCCAAACACACCCCTTCAGGTGTACTAATTGAGTTTAAATGACACATTTTGATATGTCCTCTAGTCCTATTAGATTCATAAAAATAATATTTTTCGCAACGTGCAAACGTTTGGTGAGGCTATCTGCTGGCATCTGTAATGTTGGAATCCAGGAGAACTCGATATCATTCTCATCACTGCTTTGTAATATCTGACGAAGCCAATGTTGATGAGTGTCAATATGGCGGAGCTTAGTTGTTAACAGTGGAGCCATTTGGGTAGGAATTTTGATTGCCTGTTGGTTATCACAATCAGTTTCTTTTTTAATAATAAAGTCCTAAGCTAAACAAATCAGTTTTGTTGATATTGTGTTTCTTTTATACATGTGACGCTCAAATATTTTCAAGGCAAGGAGTTCTCGGGCAGCAGCAGACAAAGTGACCAATTCTGCTTCCGTTGTGGAAGTTGTTACAGATCGCTGTTTGTTTGAATGCCACAAAACAGGTCCACCATAAAGAAAAGCAACGAATCCTTGAGATGACTTGCGTCCTTAATTATCACCGAAAGAAGCGTCTGAAGCCATTAGTATCATATAGGATTTCGGTCCATTTGGTTCGGAGAGTCCAAAATCATATTTGACAGCGTATTTTTCAGTATTCATTTGGTATTGAAGTATGTGTGTGATTGCATGTAGATGTCTTGTAGCTGGATTCACTAGATGGTCAGCACACATTGAAACTGCCAAGGCAATATCAGGCCTAGTGCATATTGATGTATATATTGCTGAGCCATCCTTCTTTTGATATGTTTGAATTAACTCTGCACTCAACCTTTCCCCAGTATTGTGACTCACGTCAAAATCTGGTGCAAGTGGGGTTAGTGAGCGGCCGTCTGGTTTAAGGTAATGAGTTTTTCCGATTTTGGCCATATAGCTTTGCTGCAGGAGCCACATTTTCCTTTTTTCGCTATCGCGGATTATCTTTATACCTAAGAAGGAAGTCGCTTCCCCAGGTTTCTTTATCGGGAATATGTTGTAGAGCAGTTCTTGTAGGGAGAATGCAAATTTTTCAAACATTTTATTAAATGCCATAATTGGGTCATCAACATAGAAGAAAAGTATGGTACCGTTTTCATGAAGCCAGAAACATTTTTCATCCCAAGCTGATTTGAAACCTGGTGATTCTAAAGCTGCTGTATAGCAATTAAACTAGTCTTTTGGAGATTTTCGATGTCCATAGAGAGCTTGATGCACACGGAGTACTTTTCCTCTCTGTCTAAAACCTTCCTGCAGATAACGATAAATTGGCTTGTCTCTTTTTGCATTTACAAATGCCTGTATTTCATAAAAACTCAAAGTTTCCATGTTATTTCGATTTATGAACGACATTAGAGCTCTGAAA